AATTGGTGATATTTCTAGTACGTTTTTAACCAAATGATTCTTTTTAGTAGCGTGCATTTACCCTTTTACAGTGTTGCTACAAATTTGAGTTCACATTTTCAATTATCACGAAGCCGCGCTCTTCTTGATTTCGAGATCAGCTATCACCAACTGGTACAGCACCCACTCTTTGAATAGAGGTAAAAGGACGCATAACATTGTCGTGCTATTCGAGGTGTCAATCCTCACAGTAATTTACTACCTACTATTCGAAGTACATTGCTCGGGGATGTTTTCCATACCAGTATTGCAGTTTCGAATGTTTCACATATTGCAGGTTGCTCCCAATTCTGCGTTTTTATCGTGGCCCGCATTATGAAACGAACTGATCTCGACAGGGGACGTTCGGCAATAATTGAACATCAACAAGCGGTAAAAAAGCTAAAATATTTGAGAAGTGGCTACATTACTTGATTACACATGTAGCTTTGAACATGTACTGCTTTAACAAAGAAATCATTACTTGTATACACAATTTGTACTGTATACACATATGTACTGTAAGTAAACTTTCAGTTTTGGGAAGCGAATCTTGCATAGCGACAGGAGCAGAAGGATGAGCTGGTTGAGCTTACGAACTCTCAAGAGCTCCGGATCAGTCGATCTGCAGAGCAAACACGTACTGTAGGAGTGGAATCACACTCGCCCTCAGTCAGTTAGCAATTTGCGTCCAGCCACATAACGAACCCGAAGAATCCAAGCCCGACCATGCGTCTATCCTATCTCCTCGTCGTTGCTGCGACTGGCCTACTCGCCTCTGCTAATGCTGCCACAGAGTCGACGGAGACGACAATGACGAAGACAGCTGTCGATTTCGTGAACGGTAAGCGATTTCTGAGGGTTAGTTCTACGGACGATTATGACAACGGTAACAACGACGAACCCAAGTCCAAGAAGGAGACGTCTACTACCACCAACGACGACGCCAACTCGAAAAAAGACGAAGAGAGGGGCATCATCGTTGATGGTATTTACCAGGACGACTACCAGAGATGGTTCAAGGAGGGCAAAACACCTGCAGAACTTGCCGACGACCTCGGACTAGATGAATTCTCAATTCTTGGTCATCCTCTGGAACGACGCATCTACAGGGGCTACAAACGCTTCTACCGTGTAGCTTGTGAAGATGGAGAGTGCGAGAAGACTAAGCGTGGACGTTCGGATGACGAGGAAGACGAGGACGAGGATGAGTAGATGAAACAGTCCTTTGCCGACAACAACCAGTATTCATCAACCCAGATTAACTTTTAGGAATTTGGTTTTAATCGGGTTTCCTTTGGATACAATGATTTGTAATAACGCTGGACATATCGGGTGAGGAAATTCTGTATTTAGGTGGTTTCACTGTGATTCGACAAATAATTTGTTAATACTAGTAGTAGTATACTATAACTGATTCTTGTAATTACAAATATAGTTTCTACTTTCTATACAGTACATGTACAATACTTGTTTGTAAGATGCTAAGATACTACAAGCAGTACATTTCGTTGGCATGCAATGAAATCAAGTAGTTGTTTTGTTACTACGTTTGGTGGTGGCGTCTGACCGCTAATACAAATTACCAATTTAGAAGCCTCGCTATTTCCTACCAATGTTGGTAATGTACCTATCTAACGAAGATTTGATTTGCTAAAACTAAAACTGCCGGGTTTTGGTGAAACCTCACATAATAAATCTGTCCATTGAAATATTGCCTGTAGAAATTGATAAACTTATTAAGAAGTATGAGCAAATCAAAATGAAATTCGATGGGTTCGTATCCGTAACCCTCCCGCCACATGATGTCACCAGATCAGGAAGGAGTCATACTGAAAGACAGTCTAAATGGGCCAATTCGATGATCTGGACAACCAATCGTGCAGCAACCTCGAAACTGCATTACAGTATATTTATATTTGCAAAATCGCCTCTCCTCTTTCTATTATCGCAAGTAGCACTCTTGAAGGTATACACATTTTTGTACATGCCACTCCAAGAGGCTACTAAACTTGCAGTTTACCTTAAACAGAGTCAAGTTTAGTACTGTACTCAATCAGTAGTAGTTGTTTACGAATAATACGAACGTTGTATTTTCCAACTGTGTTAGTTTTTGAATAAGCCATACTTGTACTTACATACATGTATATGTACTACCGTTCCCGACGCGTACTGTTGACGTGATTTACCTTCGCTGTGTCTGCAAACGTCAGTAAACTTTTCACAATCATTTCAAAACACTGAATTATGAAATTTTCTCCGTCGGTACATGTTTACAAAGTCTGCGCGCAAATATACGTTAATGAATAGGTGACGTTTTAGGCTCCGGCTTGATGCAATTCCTGATCTAGATCTTCCAACCGATTTGCATTCCCAAGCAGCTTCTATTCTTGGAACTCTCCCTCAACAGCATTAGATTAGGGCTCCCAAGACATATTGAATACAAATCTATGTTATTGTTCTCTCTCACCCCTCAGTTGTAGAGGGGTTACACGTTTGAGACCAAATATTCTTATTTGCTTAATTATGGGAACTGTCATACCTACCCATGGATACCAAATCTCTTGAGCTATGCTTATCGAGGGTAATTCTGTATCTCAAATTGAAATATCAGCTGGTTGGATTGTGTGAATTCCATGCGGTTTAAGACTGCCACTGGCAGTCTTCCAGTGCCAGATTTAGCTGGATCTTCGACAGACAAATGTTTTCGACGTCAAGGATTGCCTTGACTTTATTAAATACTAGTATGATTCATGTACCTGCTGAACAAGTCCTGCTTCACGTTTTCGTGGGTGCACCATATATAGCCTGTAAGCTATAGGATCTGCAAACACATCAGGGTTTAGCTTACAAATCTGGTAAAATTTATGGAGAGGATCATTGTATCCGAAAGTTTATCAAAGGTTCGAGGATGTATGTATACCGGTACATGTATACGGTGATTAGTCACGCTGGGCTCCGGTCGCCACTGACTATTATATTAAACACACTGCCCAACCTCTTGCCCTCAACATCTACATGTTAATGGTTTCCGCTGAATGAATGCAGAGTAAATGCTCTCTGCGGCACATTCTTTTTATATTTGCTACCGTTCCAAACCTACATGTGGTTTGATGAATAAATTCGGCAAAGCGAGAGCCGGTTTGGTATCCATTTTTTCAAAGCAAAAGTGAAAATCTTCAAGGAATTCTCGACAGTGATTTTGTGAGGTTCCTGCCTGAGTCAGGGTGGATTTGGCACCTGCATCTGTATAATGCACGCAGGCTGCATGTACCGTAAACTGGCTCATTCGAACAGAAAAGACCGCACACTCGGAGATACCCTAAACTACTCTGATGAATCTGGCCAACCATTTGAGAACTGGCACATTAGAACTCACTCGAGAATGCGTCTTTCCTACTTTCTTGTTGTGGCTTTGACCGGTCTGCTGGCCTGCGCATCAGCTGTGGACTCGGAGAAGACCTTCACGGTGTCACACAACCAAGTGCGATTTGGCGCTGGCGTCAACAACAACGAACAGCGCTTCCTTAGAGCCTACCCAGAGACTGACGACAGTGAGGTCTCCAAGACTGCCAAAGACGCCAAGACTGCCGAGGAAGAGGATGACTCCGAAGACAGCGAAGAGGAGAGGTTCTCACTTATCCAGATATCCAACAGGCCCCGCTACTACTGGTGGTTCCGGCATCAAATGACTCCTCGTGATGTTCGTAAGGAACTGGGCCTGAGAAAGAATTCGATCAAGCTAGTTAAGCGCTCGATCTACGCCGGCTACGTCAAGTACTACGACAAGCACTGCACGTACTATGATAACCGCGAAAAGGCGTTCTG